CTTTTAGCGTTGTGTTCAATTTGCTCATGTGTAAAATAAGAATAAAACCTTATATCACAGGGTATTGGATGGCTCCAAATAGGTAAGAAGGAATTAAGGAACAGGGATTTAGATGTGAAAGGGCTGAGGAAACCAGCAGCACTGTGCAAAGGCAGAGGGAGAGCAAGGGGAGGAAATCCTCGTCAGGCCCGTGGCTTCGCGAGTCCCTGGGGCTCAGCCAGCCACTCGCGGTGGGAACAGCCAGTGTGTTCATTGTTTGCGGCGATCTGAACAGAAGCCAATACTAACATTAATTGAGCAATTACAGTAAAGCAAGTTAGTTATGCTTCGTGTATCTGCTTTACCTTAAAACTTGTGTGTGTTAAAATGCTTTCCATGTAGCCCTAACTGGTTTGGCTCAGTGGATAGCGCGTCGGCCTGCGGACTGAAGGGTCCCAGGTTCGATTTCGGTCAAGGGCATGTACCTTGGTTGCAGGCACATCCCCAGCAGGGGGTGTGCAAGAGGCAGCTGATCGATGTTTCTCTCTCATCGATGTTTCTAACTCTCTATCCTTCTCCCTTCCTCTCTGTAAAAAAATCAATAAAATACATTGAAAAAGAAATGCTTTCCATGTAGTAACTCACGAACTCTTTCCATCTTTGCAGCCAGTGGTAGCTACTATTATTGCTTCTTCACAGGTGAGAAATCTGAGGCCAGAAGCGGTTAAGAGCCTTGCGTGCCCGCGGTCATGTATCTGTTAGATAGGATTTGAATCCAGAGCCTGGAGTTCAACAGCAGGAGGAAATACACCAGGCGTTTCAGACGCCTGCCCAGTGTCCAGGGGCCCTGGGGCTGCAGCAGGCGTGCAGGGGGGACTCAGGCCTCCCATCTGCCGCTTGCAGCAGCTGCTCAGATGTCATCGGCCAGGAAGCGGACCTCAGACTGCAGCTGCAATGGAGGAGGGGGGGTTATATTCCCAGAGGACCCACCGCCAGCGGAGGTGCAAGCTCATTAAAGAGTAGTGTTATTTATTGCAACCCAGGAAACTTAAGAGCATGGTCATAGCTCAATACTTATTTTCAAGGAAAATGTCTTGTCAGGTTTGAAAATTATCAAACGTCCTTGAATGAGCCTTTCAGGAACTCTTGTGTTAAAGCAGAAAGACGTGTGTGTGCACGCGCGTGCGAGGGAGCGGGGCAGACTGAGAGGAACTGTGCAGGCGAGTCCGGCCCCGGGAAGGGAGTGCGCAGCTAGCTCCGCCGGGTCAGCTGAAGAGGCCACTGGGGCGCGGGCACGAGAACCACTCTCAGGCCCCCCCCCATCTCCACCAGCCGGAGCACAGGCCAGCGGCTCAGGACGCAGCTGAGCTGGAGCAGCTGCACCCCCCTTGGACCTAGTGAGTCAGGTCATTGTGAGGAAGGCAGCGGCGCCTTGGGGGACCCCCTTCTGAGAGCAGGGGTGGCCGCGGGAAGCATGCCTTTAGGGCTGGACAGCTAGCACTGATGCTTACGGTCTAGTGGGGGCTTGTCCATGGTCCCCACACTTAGGGGACACTTCCTGGTGTCAAAGGCCTATGTCATCCACTCAGCCTGAGCGGGAGCTGTGCGTTTGTGTCGGGAACGTTTCCCGCAGGAGAGATGCGTGGCTGCGGCTCCTGATGCGCCTGCACTTGCCGCTTGGCCATGACGGCCAGTCACGCCCACCTCTCCGCTGCCCAGGGCAGAGGCTGCCATGGCTGCAGCTTTGCTCCCAGACGCAGCTCCCCTAAGGGCAGCCCCAACGGGAAAGTGTCCTCAACCTCCTGCTTCCTTTCTTCCTCTTCCCACTAACCTATGGCCCAGCTGTGACGCCACCCCCTGGGCAACTAGACCCTCTTCCGGGAGGCAGCCTCCACGCGTGCCCCCCTCCCCCTCCCGCCTATCCCTGGAGGCAGTGGGTTAGGAGCATGGAGAGCGCTTTGCTCCTTTCCACAACAAAAGCCTTCATGGGTGACTGGTCTGCCAGGAGGGGACCCAGCTACACCTGAAAAAGTGTTTCTCTCCTGCTACGTAACAATCGAAACTTATTCCTCACTGTCGCAAGTCGTGGTAAAATACACAGGTTACAGACGGCGCCACCCTACCCCTTTTGAAGGGTGCAGTGCCGCGGTGTTAAGCACATTCACATCTTGGGGCAACAGATCTCCAGACTCGTCTTCCCAAACTGAACTGTGCCGGTTACACAGCCTCCCTGCCCCTCCCTGCCCCTTCCCGCCCTACAGCCGCTCTGCCTCCGCCTCTGCCTGTGGGAGGCTCGGGGCTCTCCTGTGAGTGGAATGAGACAGTGCCCGTCCTTGTGTGTCTGGTTGGGTTTCCGTGTGGTGGTCAGAATTCCCTTTCTTCCCTGCGGTCTTCATACACTGTGTCCGCCCCTTCACCCAGCGATGGACGCTGGGCAGCTTCCACGGTTCGGTTGGTGTGACTAATGCTGCCTCGAACGTGGGTCCACAAACCCTCTTTCAGTTCTCGTGGGCTCACGTCCGAAAGGGGAGTTGCTGGATGTGGACATCTATTTTTAACTTTTGAGGAACTGCTGTACTGTTCCAGAAAACCTGAGTGCATGGACTCCAGAGTCAGCTTGACAGTGGCGACCGCTTGGTCAAAACCTGCAGCTCCTCTCAGGCCGCGGGGCCCGCCTGCTGGACAGGCTCGAGGGCTGTCCCACCTCATCCAGCGCTGAGACCAAGGCGATGCCCAACTGCACTCATTGGGCTGAAAACACAGCCTGTTTCCGCTGTTTCCCGGTGGGTGCACCCAGCTCGCACCGAGGGGGTTTTTGAAAGCGAGAGCAGCTCAGAGCCGACCAGGGCTTCAGCTGGCATGTCCCCGGAAACAGCTTCTGCATCAGAAGGACTTGAGCTTGGACCCTGCCTGGCAACGTGCCAGCGGTGTGCCGGGGAGCGACTGGGCATCTCTGGGCCTCCAGCACAGCCGGATCTCCCTGCATGGCCACACGCACTGTCCCTGGCAGCCCAGAAAGGAACAATGATGACAGCTGTAGGGAGGAGGGAGATGTGCAGAGTTTGGCTCTGTGGTGTGTAATGAGTTTACCTGTACTGTTAACACAAATTGATGCATTTTCTACCTCCTTCATTTGTCAAAATAACCAGCCAAGTGCAGATAATCTCTCCCCTTTTCTGAAAATACTTGAGGGTAGAGATTCAAGAGACAGGACAGCGCTCTGCCCGCAGGCCATGCGCCCTCAGGGCGGGCAGGCGTTGCAGTGTGCCGTCCCCTGGTCCCGAGAGGCAGTGCCCGCTCGCAGGACCCCCGCTCGCAGGGCTTCTGGGCTCAGGGGAGAACCCGCCTCACAGAAACAAGCCCACGGAGTCCTGCACTAGGAGATTCTGTGCTTGTCTCACCTCCTTTCCGTGTTATCTGGCACCGGCCGTGACTCCTCCCAGGTGTCCTGGGAAGCAAGCCGCTGACGGGCAAGTGTGAGGGCCGCAGGCTCACACTCCCAGTCGCCCAGCTGTGCTCACAGGCGTTCAACAACGATACTGTTTAAATTCCCCGAATTAAAACAATGCGCAAAGAGATCACCGAATCAGATAGCTTTAGTTTGTTCCAAGTTCTGCGGTGTTTCCGCAAAAGAGAACTGTTCTGGTTCGGGTCCGAGTGGAGCTGGTGTTTTAGGTCTCGGGTCCGAGTGGACCCGGTGTTTTGTCTTTCTATCAAGGCCAGGATGTGTTTTCACACCCTGCGCTCGGCATTGCTCCAGCTCCCGCCTGGGTGTTGGTACCAGAGACGTGGTGGGGAGGATGCTCTTGGTGGTGGTGTGAGCAGCCGCGTCAGGGCACTGAGCTGGGAGCCGGCCCGGAGCCCTCGCCGTGGCCTCCGATTCTGTTTCTGCCTCATTAGTAAATGGATGACGGTTCTGGGCCAGAGCTGGGAATACCAGGAACAGTAGAAAAATAATCCGTTTAAGATAAAGCTGGATGTAAGCAGGTCACTTTAATTTCGAATTGGTACTTTCAAAAGCCATTTGAACAACACAGGATGAGGAGGTTTCTTCTTCTGGCAACACCCAGGGCAGCGGAGAGCCTGCAGCTCCCCCGTTCACTCTCGGCCCCTCTTCCCGAAACGCAGGGGCTCCGTCTCCTCAGCACCTGTCCCATCGGTTCCTTACTTGCTCTTCCCATGGACCAGACCCCCCAGCCCTCGCGTCTCCGCGGGACCTTCTGCACGTTTCCACCTCCGCGTCCCCTCCCCCTCCCCTGTCCTCATCCACCTGCACACGCATGTCCCCTGCACGGCCTCAGGACGAACCTAGACTGCGTGCAGGCCTCACAGCGCCCTCCTGGCCCCGCCTGGGTGGGAATGCGCCCCGCCAGCTCCAGCAAGCACCCCGCCCCGCTCCTGCCCCTCGTCCATGCACAGGCCTTTCTCTGTCCGGAATGCCCTTCCCAACTTTCCTCCCCGCTCCCCGCCCACCTGGGCTCCAGCCTCAGCTGGTGGAACCAACACGTGGAGTCTCCTGGCACTTTCCGCCAGGTCCCGCCAGGGCCTGTGCCGGGGCTCCTTCCCTGACTCGCCCTCCACCCGGGGCTCCCCTCCTCCCGCCACCTCAGGATCCTGCTGTCAGGGGGCTCTGCCCACCTCCCTCGGAGGCCCAGGCTCCTGCAGCCCAGAGGCTGTCGGTGAGAAGCCTTGACTTTCATGTTTTCTGTCTCTTTCTCAGAGATGATACCTAAGGGAAATCCATTCGCTTTTCAAAGCATCTCGTTCTCTCTCCGTCTCTTTCTCTGTCTCTCACACACACACCCCATCTAAACAGTTGCTCTGAAATGCAGTAGGACAGCAGCCTCGCCTTACTCATTTGAGCAGTAGGTGGAGGGCATGGCCCAGGAATGCCCACAGCCTCCGGCCCTTCACTCCGTCTGCCTCCCAGGTTGGCACAGGCCCCTCTGCAGTGGGCGGAGCCGCTCCCCCCCCCCCCCGCCCCCCACCCCACCTGACGGTCTCTGTGTCTGGGTCTGCAGGACTTGTCCTATAAGGACCGGCACTGGCACGAGGCCTGCTTCCACTGCTCCCGCTGCGAGAACTCGCTGGTGGACAAGCCCTTCGCCGCCAAGGAGGACCAGCTGCTCTGCACCGACTGCTACTCCCACGAGTACTCGTCCAGGTGCCAGGAGTGCAAGAAGACCATCATGCCAGGTCAGCACGCCCCCGCGCACACGCCCCTCCCTCCCTGCGCTCGCGATTCTGTGTCCTGGTCGTGTCAGCCAGCATGCCTGTCCTGGGTGCCCCTCGCAGCAGCTGGGTGTGCAGAGACTGGTGGGTGGGGAGGCGACCGGTCCTCCGTCCTGGAGCTCACATTCTGCGGACGGACCCACCTTCAGAGGAACCCAGACGCGACTGCAGCAGGGACTTGCCCGCGGGGGGCGGCGGGGGCTGTGTCCCTCGTTTAGGAGGAAAGTAGTTTGTTTTGTTTTGGTTTTTGCGGGAGGGAGGAATGTTTCCTTTTAAAAACTAGAGCGAACAACTATATGTGACATTTAAAAAATAGATCTTGTGAGACATAGGAATGCGGGCAAGTAGAGCGCCCTGTGCGGGCCTACGGCTTGGACCTGCCGCTGACACAGGTGCAGACCTGGCTGTGGCCAGTTCGCCGGCGGCACAAGCAGGGCCGGCCTCCGCGCCGCCCGCGAAGTGGGCCCGGAAGGCAGACTTGGCGGGTTTAGCAAATAAGAACACAGAACTCCCAGCTACGTCTGAACGTCAGCTCATCTTCTGGTGTCTCCCATTCGGGACCTTTAATCTGGCATCCCTGCCGGAGAGCCACACGAACCAGGACAGGCCGCGGAGCACGGAGCGGGGGCAGTGACGAAGTCCCCGGAGCCTGCGCATGGCCGGCCGGCGGGTACAGATGGCTGCATGAGGGTGCCACGGGGCGTGGAGGACTTGGGGCCTGAGGACTCTGAGGCGGTCGGGAGGGTCCAGGAGGGCCCAGGAGGGCCCATGGAGCCAGCCTCGGGCACAGTGGCCCTTGGAGCGAGGGCTGGAGACATCCCCCCCCACCGCCCCACCCACGAGACTGCTGCTTTATGCTGCTTTAGGGGAGCTCGGCCTTACCAGGCAAGGTTTAGAACTAAGGGCAGCACATTAAGAGAATGGCACCCACAGAAATGATGCATGAAGTAATCTGATAAAGTATGTGTGGGGTTTTAAAAAGTCGGTCTAAAGAGTAAATTAAGCTAGCGATTCTGACTTAAAGTACATGGAGTAAGTGATTTAGGCTTGTGATTTTAAATGGAAAATGTCTTCATTGATAAACTGTTTGGACATTTAAGGTATCTTATGATCCCCCATGGTTAGAAGTTTTCTTCATTTCAGCAATTACTTAAGAACTTGAGGTTCAGTTTGTTAGTTGAGGAACTTTAAAGGGATATCAAATATACTTAATTTTCAAAAGTAGTCTTAAAGGAGTTCAGTTCACCACATTAACAACAGAACCAAATGTAAAGGCCCCTGAAAAGTGATTTTTAAAATTCACTATATTCATGAATGCGATAAAGGATGTGCCATGTGAACTTGAGGGTTTTGAGTTTGTTACCTCAATAGATTGAATGCTAATTTTTAAAAACTTAGGCGGCTGCTGAGTAATCATAGGTCATGCAGCTGGGGCCCCAGTGACGGAGAGATGAGGCTGCAGAGGTCACGGAGAGGCAGGCTCTCCTCTCTGCCGGGGACTGCTTGTCAAGCTCTGAGTTTGTGTTTTATTTTTGGTTTGCTCTGTTTTTGGCAACAGAGATACTAAAGAGCTCTGAGCAAGAGACCGACATGTGGGAGGTGTTATTTTAGGAAGATCTATTGCCTTAAGAAATCATAACCTTCTGAAAGGCAAGGTCATAATTAGGTCTCAGTCAGATGGTTCTATTGCTACTGCATTCTCCGGTCAACACATCTCACAGGTAACTGTGACATCCTGTCACAGGGAGCAGAGGCCGGGCCATGCCCACAGCCCTGCACCGGAAGACTTTTACAAAATGTCGTTAACACTCACCTGTTGGAACCAAGCGGCCCACACGTGGAGACAGTGGGAATGCCAGCTGCAGCCACGTCCACGGGGTCACACGCAGGGACACACAGTCCTGCACAGGACCCTGGGTTCATGGACACACAAGCCAAGCTGTACTAGGGTCCACAGCCAGAGCCCAGGAAGGGCCGTGGGAGGCTCTGAGCAGACGCCTGCCGCCTCCGTTCACAGCCCCTCACCCACCCGAGTTCTCCCAGGGCAGCTGGCCCTGCCCCCGCACTCCCTGTCCACTCGGGATCCGGGGTTTGCACTTGCTCAACGGAGTTCTGCCCTTTTGCAAGGAAGCTCTGTGGGCCCCTCTGCTTCTCCAGGTCCTCCCCTCACTGCCCTGCCTGGAGGACCAGGGCAGGATGGGAGTCCTTCTTGGGGGAGGGGGGACCCAAAGGAGGAAGTCCCAGGCCACACAGCTCATGCTGGAGCTCCCGGGACTGGTGGGGACGCACAGGCCGAGGTCCTGCCTGCAGGTGGCCGTGAGCCCGCAGAACGGAGATGTCTTTCCGGGGGAGTCCGGGCATCGGGAAGGCGGTGCAGGTGCAGAGGATGCCCAGCACGGCCCTTGGAATGAGAGCTGTGTGGAATCACACAGTGAGAACGTGTAAAAGCATGGACAGTTCTAAGCTTACATGGCCTTCAGGGTCACCTGTGTCAGCTCACCAGGGAGGACACCGGAGGTCCCGCCAGGCTGCTGCAGGGCTGGGAGCCACCTTCTGGCACAGGTAGGAGGGCACGCAGGGGACTCAGGGGGGCAATACTGACTGCTTCCCGCCTCGGCACCGCATTGATTCTGAGGTGGAGAAGCCGGATGAGCCTCTGTGGTATGGGCCCCCTCCCCCACCCCCTCCCACCCCCCCCCCGCCCCGCACAGCCCCACTGGCAGGAGTGCAGAGCAGCGTGGGGCACCCCCTTCCCCCAGAAACAGCACGGCATCCGTGCGAGTGCACCGCACGCGGGTCAGGAGGCTGTGCTCCTCAGTCCTGTGCCTCCCCCACTGCACACTGCGTAGGCCCTGGTCTCCTCCCCACCCACCCCAGCCCCGCACCAGCCTCAGTTACTTCAAATTCAAAACAGCCTGGCAGAGTGGCCGAGGGAGCTCGGTTCCTCAGTGCCGAAGGAGAAAGGGCGAGCACCGGGTCGGCACACACCTGCTTCCTTGCTGTGGTTCGATGCTTAAATGCTACAACCCAGTCAAGATGCACAGCGGCGCAGAGCAGGGTGCTTTGGAGTCTGGACAGACAGGATGAGAGGCGTTTCCCAATGAAAAAGTACCCTGGGCCCGCACTCCATAGAAGTCAGCGTGTTGACCTTTCCCGGCTTGTGTGACACCCCACAGAGCGAGGGCTCACAGCGCTCACCCGCCAAACGCCCAGGCCTGGGCAGAGGTCTCCGGCAGAAGCACCGCTGCCTGGGCGGGATCGCGGGTCACAGCCCCCCCGCCCCCAGGCTTCTGGAACCCCCTTGCTTATTTGAATCAGAGAGAAAGGCCCTGGCCGGTTTGCCCAGTGGATAGAGCGTCGGCCTGTGGACTGAAGGGTCCCAGGTTCCATTCCAGTCAAGGGCACATGCCCCGGTTTCAGGCTCAATCCCCAATAGGGGTGTGCAGGAGGCTGCCGGTCAATGATTCTCTCATCATTGATGTTTCTATCTCTCTCTCCCTCTCCCTTCCTCTCTGAAATCAATAAAAATATATATAAAACAAAGAAAAAACCATTCTCCATCTGGAGAATCCATCTGCCATGCAGGCTCTGTTAGACAAGGTTTGCTGCCACCTGCTGGCAATGTTTTGCAGTCCCTTTGCAGGCCTGTGTAAACGGAGTCTCAGGCCCCACACCCGCTTTGGGCTGGCGTGCCCACAGGATTCCCTGCCGGGGACCGGGCTGGTTCCTGAGCCCTGGTGTGGTATAAGACGGCTCAGAAGACACCAGGGATGCACTTGCACAGTGTTGCTTGGGGTCTCTATGTTCATGGACAACGTCCTTGGCTGCTTGATCAGAGGGAAGGACAGAGAGAAAAGAGTAGGTGATGCAGGTATATTTGGAAAAAGGAAGCCCTGAGACCAAAGTAAATTATTCTAGAATTTACATGAAAACCCCTCCACCACTGGTGGCTCTCTCCAGGGAGCACACGGCGCCGCCCCCTCCCCCAGCGCCTTCCCTGTGCTTCCTTTCTCCTCAGCTCCAAGGGCTTCCAGCCTCTGTAACTTGTTTCCTGCGCCCATTCCTCTTACATCTGTGACTCACTCCTTCTACCTCTGTGACTTTCTAAATAAACTTTCTCTTACGCTTTGAAATAATAATAAAATAGCACCCACCATTTGTACTTGAAATTAAACTGCTTACTAGAATTTTCCTCGTTTCAGAATTCATCACCCCCTGATTGAATTCCAATAGGCTGTGAAGATCGCTATGCAACCCCCCCACCCCCGCCGCAAGAATTCCATGACTATGGGAGATGGTGCCCAAATGTCTGATCCTGAAAGGACAGGGAGCTGAGAGAGTGACCCCAAAAACGACATCTAGAAACATAATCAGTAATGCTTCCCAGTGCATATTCTAATGGTTCGAGTCACCTGCATCTCACCAACTTGCCCCCCAGCTAAACACAGCCCTTAGCCTGGCTGTATTATTTTTGACTTAGCGACTGTAGACGCCTGCATTGTGCTGCCTGCATTGTCTCAGAAGGCTGCCACCCAGGGTCCACGCAGGCGAACTCCCCTGCTGCTGGAGCGCGAGCTGCAGTCATTCCACTGTAGCGTCCTGCCCGTGAGCCAGGGGTTGGCACAGTTTTCCATGAAGACCCAGCTGGATTAATAACCTGGTCTTTGCAGGCCACAGCCCTGTCGCGGCTGCTCCCCTCTGCAGGCAGCGTGAAAGCAGCTGCGGAAGGACCGCGTGAGTGGGAGTGGCTGGTTCCAACAAAACTTCCCTACGCAGCTGGCAGCGTCTGGGTTTGCCCCGGGTGGGTGCAGCGAGCTGGCACCACGCTTCTCCTTCCTTCATCCCTTATGCTCCCTTTCTCCAAGTACTTACTTCTGCTTCATACCAGCGGTGCTCACATACTTGTCTGTCTTGAACCATGGCTTTCAGTAAATATACACTTTTTTGGGTAAAGTATGGGGAAAACATCGATCAACAAGTATTGAATGTTTGCTGTGCATCAGGCATGGGGGTAGGGGTGGGGTGAACCAAAAAGCATTTAGGTTCTCCATCTTCTTATTTATTTTTTAATTTATTTTACTTATTTACAACATACAAAATAAATCTTGCAAGTAACAGGATTACTTCTATTATATTCTAAAATATTTTTTTCTCTGGCTCTATTTTTGTTCATCAGTTTATGTTGTTCGTGGTATTCCACAAATGAGTGAGACCATGTGATATTTATCTTTCTCCGACTGGCTTATTTTGCTTAGTATAATGCTCTCTGGTTCCATCCATGCTGTTACAAATGGCAAGAGTTCCTTCTTTTTTACAGCAGCATAGTATTCCATTGTGTAGATGTACCACAGTTTTGTAATCCACTCATCTGCTGATGGGTATTTAGGCTGTTTCTAAATCTTAGCTATGGTGAATTGTGCTGCTATGAACATAGGGATGCATATATCCTTTCTGATTGGTGTTTCTGGTTTCTTGGGATATATTCCTGGAAGTGAGATGACTGGGTCAAATGGGAGTTCCATTTTTAACTTTTTGAGGAAACTCCATACTGTTTTCCACAGAGGCTGCACCAGTATGCATTCCCACCAGGAGTGTATGAGGGTTCCTTTTTCTCCACATCCTCGCCAGCACTTGTCGTTGGTTGATTTGTTGCTGATAGCCATTCTGACAGGTGTGAGACGGTACCTCATTGTCATTTTGATTTGTATCAGAAACTTTGAGCATGTTTTCATATGTCTCTTGGCCTTCTGTATGTCCTCTTTTGAAAAGTGTCTATTTAAGTCCTTTGCCCATTTTCTGATTGGGTTGTTTATCTTCCTTTTGTTAAGTTGTTCCCTGTAAATGTTGGAGATTAAACCCTTATTGGAAATAACATTGGCAAATACGTTCTTCCATGCAGTGGCCTCTCTTGTTTTGTTGATGGTTTCTTTTGCTGTGCAGAGCTTTTTATTTTGATGTAGTCCCATTTGTTTATTTTCTCCTTAGTTTCCATTGTCCTAGGAGCTGTATCAGTAAAGATATTGTTATGACACATGTCTGTTATTTTGCTGCCTATGGATTCTTCTAAAATTTTTATGGTTTCCTGTCCTATGTTTAAGTCCGTTATCCATTTTGAGTTTATTTTTGTGTATGGTGTAACTCGGTGGTCTAGTTTCATTTTTTTGCATGTATCTATCCAATTTTCCCAACACCATTTATTGAAGATACTGTCTTGACTTCATTGTATGCGTTTGTCTCCTTTGTCAAATATTAATTGAGCATAATGGCTTGGATTGATTTCTGGGTTCTCTGTTTGGTTCCATTGTTCTATATGTCTGTTCTTGTGCCAGTACCAGGTAGTTTTGAGAACAGTGGCTTTGTAATATAGTTTGATATCTGGTATTGTGATCCCTCCAACTTTGTTCTTCTTTCTCAGGATTGCTGTGGCTATTCAGGGTCTTTTTTTTTTATTCCATATGAATTTTGGAGAGTTTGTTCTAGGTCTGTGAAATATGCATTGGTATTTTAATGGGGATTGCATTGAATCTATAGATTGCTTTGGGTAGTATGGACATTTTAATGATGTTGATTCTACGAATCCATGAACACAATGTATTCTTCTATTTCTTTATGTCTTCCTCTATCTCTTTTATCAATGTCCTGTAGTTTTCTGAGTACAGGTCTTTTACCTCCTCAGTTAAGTTTATTCCTAGGTATCTTAATTTTTTGTGTGTGCAATGGTAAATGGACTTGTTTTTTTAGTTTCTTTCTGTGAGTTAATTATTGGTGTGTAAAAAAGCCATAGATTTATGGATGTTAATTTTGTATCCTGCTACATTGCCGAATTCATTTATGAAGTCTTTTTTTATGGAGTCTTTAGGGTTTTCTATGTACAATATCATGCGAATAATGACAGTTTAACTTCTTTTCCAACTTGGATGCCTTTTATTTCTTCTTCTTGTCAGATTGCTATGGCTAGCACTTCCAGTACTATGTCAAACAAGAGTGGTGAAATACAACAAATGATGTCACAAATCAATAAACGTGACACATCATATAAACCAACTGAAAGACAAAAATCACATGATCATATCAATAGATGCAGAGAAAGCATTCGACAAAATCCAACAAATACAACAAATACAACCATAAAAATATTTTCGTTGCTACTTCATAACTGTAATTTTGCTACTGTTATGAATTGTAATGTAAATATCTGATATGCTATATGTGTTTTCCGATGGTCGTGACCCACAGGTTGAGAACCGCTGCATTTGGGGGTTGTTTCTTTGTCTCCTCACTTTGGTTGTCTGTTTGGGTTTGTGACTTTGTTTTAGGAAGATCCTCTACACCTCTCAATCTCTAGTGCAGGACAGTGTTAAAGGCTGTTTCTGACTAATTAGATCAGGCAAAGACTCAAAGCCTTCAGAGATTGCCTCTGCCTACAGACTGATAGGATTCCAACTTGAATTGCCCCCAGGCAATCGTCCTCAGGTGTGGCGAGAGTTTGAGTTTTTTCAACAGGGTGGGGCAGTTGCTTCTGCCTGGAAGCTAATTATTAGTTTTAGTCTCTTAAGTGGCCTCAGGGCAAGGTGTTTTCCAATAGGGCAGTGGTTCTCAACCTTCTGGCCCTTTAAATGCAGTTCCTCATGTTGTGACCCAACCATAAAATTATTTTTGTTGCTACTTCATAACTGTAATGTTGCTACTGTTATGAATCGTAATGTAAATATCTGATATGCAGGATGGTCTTAGGTATCCTGTGAAGGGGTCATTCGACCGCCAAAGGGGTGGTGACCCACAGGTTGAGAACTGCTGCAATAGGGTGTGTTGACTATCTTCCCCCGAGGCAAGGCAGATGTCTATGTGGGAAAGATGTTCTCCGCTGCCTAAGGGAATGACTTAGCCCAGGAAACTTGGGGTGTCTGCCTTCTGAGCTCTGTCCCCCGAGTCCCCAGTCCTGGCTTCTGCTCTCACAGCTCCAGTCCACTTCACCCTCCCGCTGCCTGAGCTCAAGGTGGGTGGCTCCACAGGGAATTATGTGCATTGGCCCTTTAAGAGGGTGCCTGAATTTTCAGCTGTCACTCCCTGGCAGACAGCACCCTGCTGCTTTTCACTGTCAGATGTTATGGGGTACCCTTCTCAGTTTTGGTGCTCTCTGCTGGGGGGCCCAGCTTGGGGATTAGATCCCAGAGTTTTTAGTGGCATTCCCCCCCCCCCCCCCCCCGCCACAGCTGAGATATCTCTCCGGGACTTCAGTTGCTGTCTGTGGGCGCCCACCAGCCCTTTTGTGCCTCCACCCTTCCTACCAGTCTTTATGGGGTCTCCACGTTCGGTCCTCAGGTAGCAGGGTTCTCTCCTGCGAGTTTTCCGTTGATTATTCAGGAAGTTTTTCCTGTATTTTAGTTGTAATTCCAGTTTGTTCCTGGGATTATGTCCATGCAGCATCCACTTACTCTGCCGCCATTTTTAGTCCTCTGTTCTCCATCTTCTTAATCTACTTGAAGAAATTATGTGAACACATCACATGATAATAGTTACTCGGAAGGAAATGAGATGTCACTCATTTACTGGTAGCGCGGGCGCAGTGTGGGAGGCACTGGGCATCACAGCTCTGTGCACCCCCTTGCTGGGTGAGATGTGGAGGCTCCTCACTGAGCCGGGCCGGGGGCTCCAGGTTCCTTCCCCCCTGCCATTTCCACCCCCTGAGCAGCAGGGCTGTTCATAACAGGTCCCTCTGCTCCGGAATGATTCACAGGTTAGTCTGAGCTATGCCAGATTTCTTGTGTTTTGCAATGCTGAGAGACTAGAATATTTTTTCACGTCATGTGCATACACACACACTGAGTATGTACAGATGTTGTTTTACGAACTGGGTGGGTAGCAGTGGGCACCTCTCTACAACCTAGAAAGCATCCCACTTAGAGGCGAGCCTTTGAGAGCAAAACGCCTCGCTGTGCGCAGGCCGAGCGGGTGGCCGGTCCCAGGGCAGACTGCACCCAGCCGTTGTGTCACAGCGCCTCTCTGTTCTTGCCTGGCACCACAGGTACCCGCAAGATGGAGTACAAGGGCAGCAGCTGGCACGAGACCTGCTTCATCTGCCACCGCTGTCAGCAGCCCATTGGGACCAAGAGCTTCATCCCCAAGGACGAGCAGAACTTCTGCGTGCCCTGCTACGAGAAGCAGCATGCCCTGCAGTGTGTTCAGTGCAAAAAGGTACCCGAGCCCGCTGGGCCTTGCACACGCGAGTCAGTGTGGGCCATGGCCCACCCGCTCGTCCTTCCCGAAAGAGGTGACGGTGTGACACTGGAACGGCACAGAAGTTACACCTCTGTCACCCTCTGTCCATATTCTCATGTGCTCCGGACACTGGCCCCTGGGACCTGTGTTCCAGTCTTTCCAGGCGTGAGCACGGTGGTCTGAGATAAAATCCTTCATTGCTTCCTTCTTCCTTCCCAGATGTGTGCTCATGTGTGACTCGATGTGGAGAGAACTTATGAGCCCAGAGCAGTGTCTGTTGTCTTGCTCTGGAAGAAACGAAGCCAGAGCCAACTGCTGTGGAAGGGAAAGAGGCGGCGGGAGGGAAAGTCGGGGAACGGCCGCCCCGGGGAGGGCAGGTCATCAGTTACACGTGGCCCCGGGCCGTGGCTGCGTGGCTCCGTTAGGTAGGGAGGACGGAGCCCGCCACCCGGAGGAAGCCGTCTCCCTCCCGCCTGTCCCGTCCCCCACGTCCCTGCCCTTCAGGTGTAGCTTCGTTTCCCAGTGTCCGCTCACACACAAGTCCTGACACTGTGAGGACTGTGCACCTCCACCGCCACCAGCGCCCTGGCCTGCTGTCGCGGGACTAAGCGCAGACTGGCTCCCACCCGTTTTCTGTCTGTGCCGTGTCCCCATTCCCTGCCAGCCACCTGCCTGCACCGTTTCAAAGCAGAGTATTGTGCGTTTCTTCCGTCTCCACCTTGTTTCCTTCTCGCGTTTCCATTTTTTCTTTACTATTTTGAATTCCATTTCGCCATCGCCCCCTCTCACGACCATGTGTCTGCTGTGTATTCCTTCGTCCCTTCATGGCACCCTCTCCCTGCGCTCTCCCTTTTTGTGGTTGTTCCTCAGTGAGACCCACGGGAACTTCCCTTTAGAGGCTCCTCTTCCTGGGCCGTCTTCCCCGCCTCACGGTCCTGTTCCCGTGGGGAAATGAAGGCACACCGTCTGGGCTGCACGTGTGTGTGACATCGGCACACCCGTCAGCGTTCATGCCAGAGCATCCCTTCCCGCCACTGTGGCAGGGCACGGAGTCTGGATGGGCAGAGCGAGGCAGGCTGCTCCAGAGGAAGCATCTGCACAGAAACGCCCTCTGTAGCCTCGGAGATACGTTGCCACCCAGCATATTTTGCATGAGTTCTACTCCTTAGAGAGCACTTGTTGGATAATTATTAATGGTTTATACTTTAATGAAGAGAATACGGGATAGGAGGAAGTCCTGAACTCTGTACCTACTTTGCTATTTACTAGCTATGAATTCTCAGGCAAGTCACTGAATTTCTCTGGGTCTCAGTTTGTTCATCTGCAAAATGGAAGTCACATCTGTCTCTATAAGGACTAGAGCAGGAGCTGGACGGGCAGCAGTGTTCAGGATGCACTGCGAGTGCCAGTGCAGCGCTCTCTGTTGTACATGGCCGGCCCGCAGCCAGCTGAGACCCGGGCCCGGCTCTGTCCACGTCCGTTGGTTAACTGAACATGGAAAGCAACAGTGCAAACGGGAAGTAGCAGGTCAGGTGGAGGTGTTGCCGACCAGTGTGTGTGCCTGGCTTCCGCGCAGGACTAGAGCTGAGATGGCGAGGAGGGGGCCTGGGGCCTCTCCCAGCTGCCCTGCGGCCCCGAAGGCCCATCCCACGTGGCTTTAGCCTCTTCCACAGCAGTGACTGGACCGGGGGGACCCGGGTCATTACAGACAAGTGGCCCTGGGCCCAGGCCTTCGAGGTCTGGGTTAGGTTAGGGTCGCCCTCTTCGCTGCAGGCTCGTCCTTCACCCCAGCCCTGCCTCCTGCCCTGACACCTGTGCCCAGTCCAGCACCCTCTGAGGATGGAGGGCGGGCACCTTGTACCCACATCACTAGCAGGAAGCCAGGGTCTGCAGCAGGGACTGTGAGGGCTGGGAAGCGGTTTCTCAGTGACCTTGAACCAGAGCTGACGTTTCCTGGAGGCAGTACGCTAAGAACACAGGCAGCTCTGCTCTAGGACCTGACCCCTGCCCTCTTGCCTCCCAGCCCATCACCGCCGGAGGGGTCACCTACCGGGAGCAGCCCTGGCACAAGGAGTGCTTTGTGTGCACCGCCTGCAAGAAGCCGCTGTCCGGGCAGCGCTTCACGTCCCGAGACGAGTTTGCCTACTGCCTGGACTGCTTCTGCGACCTGTATGCCAAGAAGTGTGCCGGCTGCACCAACCCCATCAGCGGTGAGTGTCTGGGGCCACCAGGCCGCGGCCCTGCCCCTCCTCACGAGCCAACGCTGACGGGTGAGAGTCTGGCACGTGGGTTTGTTGCATGGGCAGACCTTGCAGAGGCTGTGGACTGGGTTCCGGGGCTTGTCTCATGACCGCCCTCTGCGAGAAAGTGCGCCCCCTCCTCCACACCCACCCACTGTTTCTTTTGTGCGGTCTTTCCCGCCATTCCAGAGAAAATGAGCCTTTTCTCTTCACCCTCCCTGTGAGCGTGTCATTCATTAAGTCAGTGCTGGCCACGCCCCGGTGAGGGGCGCTCAGCTGTCAGTTCCTTCTGGTGGGCGCACGGGCTCTGGAACTTTGGGCGTCCCACATGCTGCTCTCTAGCCCTTTCTCCTTGGAGTCCTGAGCTCCTCGGCTGTGTCTGGGCCCCCACTCCCAGGAGCAGAACCAGAATTCCTGGTGCAGCCCAGCGCCTGGCCCGGCATGCTCACCCGTGTCATTCTCCGCCCACAGGACTTGGTGGCACAAAGTACATCTCCTTCGAGGAGCGGCAGTGGCACAATGACTGCTTCAACTGCAAGAAGTGCTCCCTGTCACTGGTGGGCCGCGGCTTCCTCACCGAGAGGGATGACATCCTGTGCCCCGACTGCGGGAAGGACATCTGAGTGCGGCTGCCTGCATCACGCAGGCCCACGTCCCCGTGTCCCCGCACGGGGGCCAGCGTGGAGCCTGCCTCCTCCAGCCTCACCTGGCTTTCCTCTTGTGCTTCTCAGCGATAGTCACTAGTCACGTTTGTGTAACCCCTCCGCCCTTTCTTCTAGCCCAATCCCGGGGGAGGAGAAACCCTTATGGAGACCTTAGGTGGGAAGACGGTTGTGAATTTTTATAACCAAGCAAGGGAAATCCAAGTGCAAACTTCCCGTTGAATATCTTTATAAATGTATCTTTCTTTCACTGCATATTTAATTTTAAGTGCAATTAACATGTCAGGAACTTGGAAATAATGACGAGCTGTCCCTATAGCTGTCACTTCCTGTCGTGTGAGGCCTGCAGCAAGATTGTATGACTTGCAATAAAGCTACTCAGCACCGAGTGGGAGTGGTGCGTGCACAGTAAGGCTGCGTGTAATTGACACTGTGCTGCGCGATCGATCCATGCACTGTCTGAGGTGCGGGCCCTGGCGGGCGGGCGGGCATGTTGACTGAAACTGGATCGCACCTTCTCTTCGTCAGGTGAAGGACTGCAAAAGGGCACAGCACCGTGGGGCCAGGATGGCAGCTCGCTCTGTGTATCCCAACGCCTGAGCATTCAGGGCATTCTGGTGCCTGCAGGAAGTGCCACAGAGCCAGTCAGAGGGAAGGAGGCAGAGTCACGCGGAGCTCCGGGCTGGGCAGCAGTCTGTCAGTCACCTGGAGAGCAGGCTCCACACCTGAAAGCACTGAGCAGTTGATGAGCTAGGGCCTTGCATATTTCTCCAGAATAGTAACAATGTCGACCTTCGGTCCTCAGTTTTCTAAGACAATGCCCCATGATAAAATGACATGGTGTCCAATCAGAAAGAATATATGCACCCCTATGTTCATAGCAGTGCAATTTACAATGGTTAAGATCTGGAAACAGCCTAGTGCCCATCAGAAAAAAAGTGGGTAAAAAAGCTGAGGTTGCCCTGGCTGGTGGCTCAGCGGCTAGAGCATCAGCCAAGAACCAAAGGGTCCCGGGTGTGATTCTGGTCAAGGGCACATACCTAGGCTGCAGGTTCCCCACTCCAGTCGGGGTGCATGTGGGAGGGAGGCAACTGATTGATGTGGCTCTCTCACGTCAACTTTCTCTCTTCTCTCCTTCTCCCCCGTCCCTTTCACTCTCTCTAAAAACAACGGAAGAAATAGCCTCCAGTAAGAATTAACAACAAAAAAGCTGCGGTACATTATACCATGGAATACCATGCAGCAGTAAAAAACAACGATCTCTTACCCTTGAAGCAGCATGGAGGGACCTGGAGAGTATTACGCTAAGTGAAATAAGCCAGTCAGAGAAAGACAAGTATTTTACATGATCGCATTCATATGTGGAAGCTAATGAACAAAATAAACTCACAAACAAAATAGATCCAGAGATTTGGAAGCAGGGAACAGACTGAAGATTCTCAGAGGGAAGAGGCGGGGTGGGGGGGTGGGAAGAGATTAACCGAAGAACTTGCATGCCTATATGCATAGCCCATGGACACAGACCATAGAGTGGTGAAGGCCGGGGCAGCGCATGGGGGTGGGTTAGAAGGGGTTACTGGGGAGAAAGGGGACATCTGTAATAGTTTCATCAAAAAAGATAAATTGTTATAAAATGAAACGTTGTGCCGGGGAAAGCCTGGTGGGAGCCCAGCCTGTCTCCGCCAGTGCCACCACCAGGAGGGCATCTGAACACATGAGTCAGGCCATGAGCCAGGCCGCCAGAGTTACAGTGAGCTGGAGGCTTTGCTCAAAAAGAATAAACCCACCTTGTTAGTTGTTTTGCCATCTTCTACTTTATAATGTTAACATGAAAACATTCAAACCTGTAAAGAATTTTTGTGAGTTTGAGCCAAACTGTCGACATATCCCGGGAAGCAGAACCTCAACAGATTGAGATAATGCTCTGGAGAATGGCGGGTTACATCTGTATTTATACATTGCAATCAAAGGAAAGGGACGTAGGTGGGTGACATGAAATCCACTGGTGCTAGACTAGAGAGGTGGGAGAAAGCAAAGCGGGTGGGGTGGGGGGAACCCCTGGGATTGAATAAAAAGTAAAATGATAGACACATACTTAGGTGGGGGCAGGAACAATTAACATGATAACAAGGAATTTGTAGTATTTGTCCTAGCACCCAGGCACATTAGGTTGTGCCTCAAGGGGTCCAGAAAAATCGAAGTTACAAGTTACCCAGACATTTCAAGGGTATGTTATCATAGATACAAACAGACAGATAGGCTCAGTTAACGTAAAGGTTGACCTTGTCAGTGAAGATACCGGCCTAGGATGTAACTACCCACCATAACTGCTTTTAGTTAAAGTTTAATTTCAGACCATCCTTTGTGGTTACTTTAGGTCTGAGTTTGCAAGACCACCATGCAGGCCTTCCCTGAGCTTGTCAGGTCAGCATGTGGCCCCTTTCGTCCACAATAATATAAAAGTAAAAGCATTCTTGCAAATGTGCTTTTGAAAATAAAAATAGCAGTATTCAAAAAAAAACCAAAAGTAAAAGCTTTCCAAATTTCATTATGGAACATCTTAACTTGTTCCTGGTTAAAAACACAGCTACACTAAACGTATCCAACCTTAAATTACCCAATTTGTCAAAAACAAAGATCTTAGTGGCCAGCAACTACCAGGGAGCTAGAGCTCCATGAGACTAGTAGCAAAAAGCAAAATGGCAGACTAGCCAGTTTAACAGAAACCAGGGGAAGAAGAGCCCTCAGGGGATCCCCCTTGCCGCTGGGGGCCCAGGAGACGGCATGACGGGGCTGCCCCCACTGAGGGGCAGTCGGAGGACGTGGAGCAGACGTGCGAGCATTCGCCAAGCCATGCACAGAGCAGCAAAGCTCTTAGAACCTTGTCTGCTCAGAGGGCTAGGCAGAAGCTCTGACCTGGCTGAGCGTGTATTATGAACGTGTTCAAACCTAAAGGAAACCATGCTTAAAGAATGAAAGGAACATTTATAACAATTTCTCATCAGAGTGAGAATACCAATAAAGAGGTAAACCTTTTTAAAAGAGCCAAATGGAAATTCTGGAGTCTGAAAGTGCAGTAACCAGAATGAGCAACCACTAGAGCAGCTTGAGCTGGTAGGAGAGGAAGTCAGTGAACACGAAGACAGAGCAATAAAGATCATGAAATCTGAAAAACAGGGAAAAAAGAAAACAATGAAAGAGCCTCAGAGAAATGCGAACCACCATTAAGTGAACCAAATTATGCAAAACGGGGATACCGGGAGAGGAGAGGGAAAAGGGACAGAAAAAATGTTTTAAGAATTGATGGCTGGCCCTGGCCGGTTTTGCTCAGTGGATGGAGCATCGGCCTGCGGACTGAACGGTCCCAGGTTCCATTCCGGTCGGGGGCACATGCCTGGGTTGTGGGCTCCATCCCCCATAGGGGTGTGCAGGAGGCAGCCAACCAATGATTCTCACCATTGATGTTTCTATCTCTCTCCCTTTCCCTTCCTCTCTGAAATCAATGAAAATATATATATTTTTTAAAAAAGAATTAATCGCCCTAACCGGTTTAGCTCAGTGGATAGAGCGTCAGCCAGCGGACTGAAGGGACCCAGGTTTGATTCTGGTCAAGGGCATGTACCTTGGTTGCAGGCACATCCCCAGTAGGGGGTGTGCAGGAGGCAGCTGATCGATGTTTCTCTCATTGATGTTTCTAACTCTCTATCTGTCTGCCTTCCTCTGTAAAAAATCAATAAAATATATTTACAAAAAAAAGAGAACCGCTGAAAACTTCTGAAATTTGATGAAAAACATTAATCTAAAAATTATCCAAGAAGCCTGACAAACTCACAGGAAAAATGCAAAGAGATCCGTACCCAGACATATTATAGTTAAGATGTTGAAAGCCAAAGATAAAGGGAAGAATCCTGAACGTAGTGAACTGTGATTAGAGCCGCTACACCCACTCAGGGGTCTGCAGAGCCCACATGGGCCTCCACCCCAGCTGGGAATCACGACACTGAACAATACTTCCGACTGGCTCTACAACAATGCAGTTCTATGTTAAACCGTTTTATGAGCAAGACTTTTTATTAAAAAGAAATAAAACATACATAAAAGTGCATAAAACAAGTGTTAGCAGGTAAAACTCAATGATGAAGACGGAAGTCAGAACAGTGGTTCATTCTGCTGGGGAAAGGGTGGAGAGAACTTCTGGAACGCGAGAAGGTTCTGTGCTTTGGTTGGCAAACTGGCTCGGCTAAGTCCTGCACGCTGCCCTGAGTTCTCTTAAAAAGGTGTATGGGAATGTAGCCTGCCCACTCAGCCACACACGCCTGCCCATAGGCCTAAAATGTATACTGTTGGCTCTTACAGGAAGTTTGTGGTCTCTCTCTCTCTCTCTCTCTCTCTCTCTCTCTCTCTCTCTCTCACACACACACACACACACACACACACACACGTGAATTCACTGAGCTGTAGGTTTTAAACTTTACAATGTTATGACATCTCAGAAAAGTGTATGTTATACTTTTTATCGTTTCCTATATTGATAGTTAATATAAAGCAAATTTGCTTGATCTGTATCTGATTGTCCTAATACCTGAGAGCTCTGGGGTCAGTCTCTCCCACCTGATGGTTCGGCGGCATCTGGCGCTGGTGCACGTTTTCCTCGTGTGCCTGGTAAGCCGGCCTGTGCTGTCGCCGCGTCCAGCACCGTCCGCAGGCATCTCCTCCTGCCCAGCGCTGTCTTCCTGCAGACAGGGCTCCGCCGGCCTAGGCTGGACCTACTTCCCAGGAAGCCTCCGGGCGCAGCTTTGGCTGCAAACCTGCAGGAGCCTGCTTGCTGCTGCAGGCCTCCATCTCCGCCTCCCCCCCCACCCCCTTCCTTTCTATCTCCCTGTTCTTTCTCCTTCCTCCCTCCCTCAGCAGGCAGGCTGACTTCTAGTTCACCTTTATCACAGGGGACAGGTGCTCTTCGGAGTCATGGCCACAGGTTCCCCCACCTCGTAGGGTGCGGGGCTGTCTTCTCACCATAACACACTGGTTAATAGCGCATCAAACAAATGGCCTACTCTGCTGGGTTCTTGCGGTCTCAGGTTTTTGCATCAACTCTCAGGGCTCTGGATTTTTTCCACAGGGGGTTGTGTTCTATTGAGATATGTTATAAGAGCAGAGGAAGGGTATCCATGGCAGGGAATCCTTCCGGAAAAGGGTGACTGACAGTATCCACGGGGATCCCACACTAACAGTGGGCAACCCCCGCCCGCCCCTGCCGGAGCGCCCTGAACCCTGACACAGAGTAGACACACTCACAGGAGGCATGCCACGCACGCTGAAAGGAAGGAGGGCCGGGCGCGGGAGGCCCCCTCTTCTGCAGAGACCCCAGGCAGAGGCACAAGGTCCATGAAGTAGAGACAGACCTGAGCAAAAAGCCTTATAATGCTCCCTGTACATATTTAAATGCTCATTCCGACATGAGGCTGCCTGGCCTTAGAGGGCAGCCTGAGGGGCTCAGGGTGAGGATGAGGTGGAAATACAGAGAACTAAGATCTGGGAGAGACCCCGGATCGGAGTGAAAATGGGAGCCCAGAAGGAATGATGCTCACTCGAGGCCACGCAGGCCAGCACACGGGCAGGTCCCGACGCCAGCCCGTCCTTCCTGGAGGAACTGCCAGTCGCACACCTGCTGCTGTGGCGTCTGTGTGTGTTATGTCCCTCTCCTCTCCGCTAGCCAGTGGGCCGTCGTGTGAACGCAGGGCCACTGCACTGGACTCCAGGGAGGGGTGGGCGTGGAGGGGCCTGGGAAGGGGCCCATTTCTGGTTTAAGAAAAGGGCAGGGGGTCCAGGTTTGGGCCGCCGCTCTGCCACCAGCCTTCGGAGAATTCACTCCCTCCGCACGCCTCCTCTTCCATAATCAGAGTGCTGCGCCCCATTGCTTCCAGTCTGAAACAATGAGAAAGAGCCATAACTGGACGAAGGTTAAGGGAGGCATTATTTCTGAAATAAAACACAATTTGTTTTCTTATATGTGGAGATGATTGTGGGGGATGCGATCCTGAATACAGCTTTTCTGAAACACTGAGAAGGGAATGTCCAGGCATCACACGTGCCCAAATGCACATGAACTACGAAACTGACTCTTCTCAGCACGCCAAAGGGATGCGAGAGAAGAAATAAGCCTGCCACAGAAATCAGGGCGGGGACTTCATCCCAGGCACTATCAGCAGTTGTACAATCAGAAGCAGGTGAACAAAACCCTCCCAGGGTCGGAAGCATCTTCCAAGAGAAAAAGCCGGTTTGGGGTCGGTTTCCTTAGGCTTCAAAGAATTAAAAATGTTAACGAGTAAGCCATTTGGTGCACAGAACATCCTGACTTTAATTATAAAATGTTCTTCAGATTTTTTCTCAAATTATTTGAATGTTTAGACTGAATCAACGGGGATTAATAAAAGGGTAAAGCCCCTTGGGGCAGAGAAATGTCTTACTCCAGCTCCTTATGTAGAGTGTGAAACACAGCCAGTCCCTACTGCACTAATGGCGTGTGTGGCCAGGAACAGGGCGTTCACGTTCGTTAGAGCATCGTCCCATCAGGGCACGTGCAAGAACCAACCAATGAATGCATAAATAAGCGGAACGACAAATCGGTCTCTCTCTCTCTGTCTCTCTCTCTCTCTCTCTCTCTCTCATCAATCAAACAGAGAAAAGTTAACTTGACATCCTCTTGTTCATTAAAATACAAAACTCCCATATTTTTAAGCGACATGACTTAAAGTAACACTGGAAATGAATGGAGTCTGAAAGGATAGAGGCAGAGGAATTGTATAAATCACTGCACTCCATCTAGTTGATGGCGTTGTTTCCCACATGGGCACAGGTGGACAGCGGCCACCGCTGCACCTGGGTACCGGAAGCCAACAGGTAAGTAAGTGGACAGTGGGTGGTGGGAGCCTGGTTTCTCATTTTTGGGGCGGGCACTTAGAAACAAGCACAGGAGGCCTACAGTGGTCCACACAGTATGAACTCATGTTTAGCTTACTATAGAGATGCTTACATATAAAAACACGCAGATGTGTGCATATCCCAGGGTCAGTATAAACACACATGTATTTCCTTGCTCTGTCAGTTGCGGCCCAGAAGCAACGACACCCCAGTATCAGTGAGCACCCTAGTGCCCAGATCTTGCTTTCTAATGCCATCCTGCAATAAAAGGAACCAAGACTCCTTGGAGAGATGGCCACGTCAGGACTGGAACAGGAAACATGCAAGAGGAACCTGGAGCACTTTGTTCCACCAGAAAGTAAGGAGGTGCTCCGGAGAAGCCACAAGGATGGCTAAGTCAGAGGGACACAGCGGCCAACTGAGACCGTTCTCAGTGGCCAGAGCCAGAGGGATCTGAGCAAAACCAACAAGAAAGCATTATGTCATTACCCAAAGTGCAAGTGTCGGAGTCCACACTGAGATGATTATTAAATTTTAAAAGGGGGAGAACAGACAATTCTGCAGAGCATTCCAAATGGGCTATGTGGCCGCTTGGCCAGCAAGGTGAAGCGTACTCCACGCTCCTCCCGTGACCCTCTCCCGAGCACAGCGTGAGAGGAAAGTGACCCCATGTGACCAGACAGTGCCTGAGCCGGTGGCCGAGGGTCCCCTCGAAAGGGTTAAAGCCGTTAGAGAATGCACCCTAATACAGCGGATGGAAGGGCTCTTTCCTCCCATCGTCCTGAAACTCGTAACCCGTCTCATCATGCAAAAGACCCGAGACAAGTCCAACTGAGGGGCACTCTTCAAAACAACTAACCAATACGCTCCCCATGTCAAGGCTGAGAAATTTAAGGAGAGTCTGAGACACTGTCACAGCCCAGCTGACTCTAAGGAGTTATTATGAAAACTAAAGGTAAGGTGGTATCCTGGCACAGAAAACGGACATTTGGTAAAAACTAAGAAAACCTGAATGAAGTTATGGACTTTAGCTAACAATGTATCAGTACCGATTAGTCTCAGGAAGGCACCACACTAACGCAGATCAGTGGCAGGAAGCTGTCGGGAGAGGGAAACTCTCAATACCGCCTCAGCCAGCAATATTTCTATGCACCGAAAATGCTACAAGGTTTATGTTTTAAAAGTTTATTTCAAAAAAAGTATGTAGCAGGGCAGAATAGACATAACAGAAGGCTTAGCTAGAGTTGGTGTTCTTGTATTTATAAAACTATCTTTAAGCGTAACTGGTATTTTAGTCTTCTAAGGTTTAATTATTAGTCAAAGAAATGTAAATAGTTTGGTTCAAACCATGTACCCAAAGGCTAAAAAACAAGGCATCTGGTTAATTTTATTAGAGATTAAAAAACATTTCATGCTATTGTACAGTTAATCAACCAGTCTTGTTTCTGTTTTTTGATTCAATTTGGTCAAGTCTGAACAGCGCTAACAAACAGCTTCCAATTTCTCTTAGCATCACATTCGAGGTCCTTTATGGCCTAAGATCCACCTTACTCTGGCTTCTGCCTACCTTCTCTGACTTCATTTCATACTACCCTCCCCACTAGTCTTTTTGAGCTAAAAACCTATGAAGACTCAGGTGTTCACTTCACCATGGGGACTGATGTCTGTTATTAGTGCTGGGTAGCAAACCATCCCCAGCGCTTAGTGGCTGAGCACCGCCCCTTCTATCCCCTGTGATTCTGCGAGTCAGCGGTCTGGGCTGTCTGCCCTGGGACCTCATGCAGTCAGTCACCTGGCAGCTGGATGGGGAGTGGGTGGCTGTCAGTGGGGCATATTTTTCTAGCTTCTTCCCCATCATGGCTGCAGCAGGGGTCCAGGAGTGACAGTAGAAGCATTTGCTTGATCACAATCTACCATTTATAGGATGTTTTTCCCAAAAGCTTCCCATAGCTGTCACCCCTTAAAATACCAGCGTTTCAAAGAGGCTTTCCTAACCACTAGTTTAAATAGTTTCTCACCCTACGCCTAATTTTTTTTCTCTCATTATAATTCCCCATCATTCCTGTTCACTTGCCTGTCTTTTCTTTAGGAGAACTTAATTCACATCTTTATTTCTTCTGCCACAACAGGGAAGACAACCAACTTTATAACAACTGGCAGGGCAAAGCACTTCAGTTAGTACTAAGAGCACATTAGTAAAAATCTAAATGGAAATAAATTTTTTTGGTCGCTTCTGTCCAGACAAAAAAAAATCAAGGATCTAATTTTTAAGTTCAAGGCAGGTGACCTGAGGCTTTTCCTAGTTAATTTAGAGCTTCACTATCAACATTAAGGCACCAGTTTAGAAATTAACTTTCTTAAGACCACGCAAACACAAATAAGCCCTCAACGAATCTCTGGTTTGCCCCAGTTAAGAAAGCTTACAAGGGCCCAGCCGGCATGGCTCAGTGGTTGAGCATCGGCCTATGGCTCGATCCCCGGTGGGGGCGGGAGGGCTGCAGGAGGCAGCCAATTTTGATTCTCACCATTGATGTTTCTATCTCTCCCTCTCCCTTCCTCTCTGAAATCAATTTGAATATATATATGTATATATACACAAACACACATATTTTTTTTTTAAAGAAAGCTTACAAGGGATGAGGTTTGGGAACGTGTCTCCTTCCCCCAAGCACAGCGGTGGTCAGTGTCAGCCTCTGTCGCACCAGGGAGTCCTGAATGCCAGGCCACTCCAGCCGTGCTCCTGTACAGCAGCGCCCCGAGATGGGGGGACTAGCGGAATCATGCTGGAGCTCAATCAGTCCAGAAACAGACTTTTTACTATAAAAATGACACCTTTCAATAGCACTTACTCAAATAAAAAGAGATCAAGTCATTACAGAGTATTTTTTCATTTTATTTTTTTTACAAACGACAGACCTACTCAATAATTTTATTCAGTTTATTTAAATAAGGATAAGGCTACTTAAAAGACTTTTTACATACAAAAAAATGTACATTACAAGGTTAAACTTTCTGTACTGAATTACAAAACCTGCACGAGCATTTAATAAAGAGCACACTTAAAAACATTTGAAGTCCCACAGTAGAGAACAGAGGAGGCTCTGACATACATGTGATTTAAGCTACTGGCAGTTTACTTAATGTAAGTTTTAAAAAGGTCATTGCTGCTGAATGAGTCTCTAGATCAGTTTAGAATTGTCTCTGAAAACTTAAGCAACCAAAATATTACTTCAAAAAATAATTACAATTCTGAGGAACTTTAGTACTAGCAAAAGCACTATGGCCTCATGGCAGAGGGTGAACCAGCTTCCCAAAGGGCCTGGCTGCTGAGCGTCTGGACAACTGCAGCCGACAGCCCCGGAGGCCCCAGCACTCTCAGAGCCCTCGCAGCAGCCCGACCTCCCCGCACGAGGACGGGTCGGTCCAGCTCCACCGCAGTGAATGAGCAGGGCCACGCTGTGACCAAGCCTGAAGCTTAGGCTCTACAGAGAGGAGGGAGGAGATGAAGGCAAAGAAAGTGAAAATGCAGGAAAGGAGGCCATGAGCAAGGAAAACAGGGAACCAAGAGGGGGAGGAAGAAAAGAACAAGACCACCTGGCAAGGCAGGCAGTGGTCAGTGCCTGGCACTCCACCTCAGAAGCCACTCTCTACACAAATGCCATTCGCTTTCCTACCCCAACAAGAAGAAAAACTGGCTTTATTGGACTATAGAATCGAGAGCAACAATAGTAACCCGTGTTAGGGAGTACAGAGGATTCCGAAGATGTTAGCCACTCAAGTCCTTCTCAGCTTCAAAGCTCACCAAAGCAACACTTCAAAACATCAGCCTCCCAACACCTCTGCCCGCTTCCCATGCGTCCCTCGGCAGGCTCTGCAGGCAGGCTCCGGGGCAGGCTCCGCGGGCAGGCTCCGGAGCAGGCTCGGGGGCAGGCTCGGGGGCAGGCTCCGCAGGCAGGCTCCGGAGCAGGCTCGGGGGCAGGCTCCGGGGCAGGCTCCGCGGGCAGGCTCCGCAGGCAGGCTCCGGGGCAGGCTCGGGGGCAGGCTCCGGGGCAGGCTCCGCGGGCAGGCTCCGGGGCAGGCTCCGCAGGCCGCTGCCGCACGTGGAGACGCCGAGGGCTAGCTGTCTGTGCCCGGAGGAAGGCACAGCGCTCCAGGATGTTGGTGTATGGGACACACAGTACCCAGCTTACCTCCTCCACATTTCAAACTCAAAGTAGGTCAAGAACATGCTGCTATATGAGCGCTGACTCTGACTGTCCATAATATAAACTTCAATTTGAAGCAACAATGTTACACAGTTCAGCTGTTAGTACCAACCTGCTTTGTAAGTTAAATATACAAATTAAAAGTTAATTTTTTGAGTAACGAAAAATAAGTTTCTACTGACTTAAAACTGTCAAATGGCTAATTCTCTCTTAACTAAGAGAGAAATGCAGATGAAAGCAGAAGGAACAACTGAATAAATATAACTTGTCTTTCTACCCTAAAATCTGCACTTTTCAAAATGTCCCTTAACACAGTTATGCATAGGAATACATCAGCCCTGCAGACAACTGCGTATTTAATAATTTACCCTAACGTTAACAATTTATGCAACTCAGTATGTATCCACTTTGTCTCATGCGAACAGATGCACAGTCTGGAGAAGGCAGGACTGAAACTACAGGGTTAAAGTTTCAGCACAGTGTTCACCTGCATGACGGAACTACTTCTTCCTATGGCTATTCAACAGCTGAGTTAAAATGCTTGTTTTAACAAACAGAAAGAGGAATGAGACTGTTGTAAAAAGTACTGAAGAGACAACCCCCGATTTGAAGATCAATCATACAAGGGAGAGAGTGTCAAGTATTCTCGCACTTGGTTAGAAACACAGGGCAGGAAAGTGAACACTGGAACTCACGAATGTGAGGAATAACCTGTTTGCTCACTGACTCAGTTATGCAGCTGGAACAAGACCACTTAGCACACACTCAGAGATATGCCTGCGGGACAGCCCTGTGCACAGCGCTCCGTGCTGCACCAGCAGGGACCCGGCCAACTGGCACCCTCCGTGCTGTCACTGGGTCCTCACTTCCGACTTCAGTACCTCCTCTGCTGGCCCATCTGGGTCACACCGAGTTTCCCCCTTCACCACCATCCTCCCAGACTCTCCTAAATTCTACAAATCTACCTCCTCTTCCTGTTCACTGAACTCTCTACCAACAGGTACCACCTCTAACACGATGACTTCACCTGGAGATTTTTAAAGTCGGCCTCAGTAAGCTCCTGGAGGGAGATCCCTGAGCTCAAAGTGAGATCAGACTGCTCCTGAAAAGGGGAGGTAGGACTGCTGCGTGACAAGAACATCCTGAAGGGTGGACCTGGGGCAACACTGACCAGTCAACTCATGAGAAGCAATTCTGCTATGACTTCAAGGGAAGAAGCAATCGCAAGCACTTAGAGGACAGCAATTTTATCTGTATAGTCTGAGTAGTGTATTGGCAGCACTGCAAATATGCTTTTCTCAGTGAACCTCAAGGATGGACTGGCAGTATTTACTAAAATACTGTGAACTGTTATATTCTTTTGCTTGGGAAAAGAAAAATTGTGTACTTCTAAAATATGTGAGTTTTTAAAAAAATCTCCAAGTTCTCCAAAGATTGAAACAGATTAATGAGAATTATTCCTAAAATTCATCAGATGCTTTATGGTACACCAGACTTGTAGTTTCCTGATTTGACTACGGTCAACATAAATAACGTATAGTAAGCCATTCATTTACAAAGAAATTCCTTCCGCCCTGGCTAGTGTGGCTCAGCTGGCTGGGCATCGGCCCGTGCAAAGAAAGGTTGCTGGTTCAATTCCAGCTCAAGGCATATGCCCCAGCTGCGGGCTTGATCCCCAGTAGGGGGTGTGCAAAGGAGGCAGTCGATCGATCGATATTTCTCTCTTACATGGATGTTTTTCTCTCTCTCTCTAAAATCAATAAAAACATATTTTTAAAAAAAGAGAAATTCTTTCCTAATCAGAGAATAAAAGGCAATTTTTTTTTTCAAAAGGAGGGAGAAAGGCAGGCAGGGAAAGACTTTTTTTTTTTAACCTAATTTTAAACCTTTAGAAAATTTTCAAAATAATCAAGCTCTCTGTAAATACTGTCAATATATGTGAACTGTTTGAAAACTACAGTTATATTTACATTTTTGGAAACTTTCCTTCATGGCCATGTAACGTGTTGTATCTTCCTCTTTGTTTCTGGTGGCTTCAGGTTATCCTAAAATGACATAAACAGAAATCAGTTTATACTTACAAAAATGTCAGAGAACAACTGGAATGACTGTTTTTAAGCCACCAAGGTTTACTACCAACATACAAATGGTAGATCCCTGCTGCCATCTGGTGGGAGAGAGCTTAGATTAGCAAACAGAGCAAGCCTCCTTGGCTCCCATTTTTCTAGCTGTGGTTCTCAAACATGTGCACCTTAGGATCACCCAGGGCACTTACAGGTATGTCCGGGCCTGGGCCTTATCCCAGGACCAGTTAGGTGAGAACCCACAGGCAGCAGGGATGAGGCTCTGACCTCTGACTTTCTGAAGCTCTAGGGCAGTGGTTCTCAACCTTCCTAATGCCACGACCCTTTAATACAGTTCCTCATGTTGTGGTGACCCCCAATTTCATTGTTACAAATCGAACATAATTAAAGCATAGTGATTAATCACAAAAACAATATGTAATTATATATGTGTTTTCCGATGGTCTTAGGCGATCCCTGTGAAAGGGTTGTTCGACCCCCAAAGGGGTCGCGACCCACAGGTTGAGAACCGCTGCTCTAGGGTATACCCAGGGTTGAGACCACTGACTGCTCCTGGGCTGCTTCCCCCGAGCAGGGCCCATGTCCCCCCTCAATCTCACAATCCAAGATCTTAACAGGAGAAAAGATTTAAAAAAACACACAAAATCACACCTCTGAGCCTAGCGGGTAGCTCAGGTGGTTGGAGCATCGACCCACACACCAAAGGGTGGCAGGTTCGGTTCCTGGTCAGGGCACACACCTAGATTGTGGGTTCGATTCCTAGTCGGAGCACATACAGGAGGCAACTCATCGATGTTTCTCTCTCCCTTTCTGTCTCTAAAATTAACAGAAAACATATCCTTGGGTGAGGATTAAAAATAAGTAAAAAATTTTAAAACCACACCTCTCAAAGAGTAAAAATTTTCTGAGTAGAAAAATGTTTTCTCAAAAACTAAAAAAAAAACTCCTTAAAGCTCACTCCTTACTGTAATATGTGAGGGTGGATGCCTCTTCCCACTCCTATCTGACACCCTCTCCCTCCTTCCTACAAAGGTGACGGAGTTTAGTGTGGAGGCAACATGGTGTCATAAGCGCATGTCTGGGGCCAGGCATGAATTCTAACTGAACCCTGGACAAGTTTATTTAAATTATCCAAACTTCTGTTTCCTCATCTGTGAAATGGAAATAATTATTGTGTCTACATCACAGGATTACTAAAAGGATTCAAGGAACTAATGTAAGGACTTAGGGCTGGTCGGATACACAGCAGCTTTCTTTTTCTAGGGTCTACTATTTTTGATTGAGCTACTCTGAGTTTTGATCCCTTTGACATACAATTTGAAGATAATAAAGCCCAAGTATATACTACAGGAATGTGCTACAGACTGAATGTCTGTGTCCCCTCAGAAGTCATGTATTAAAACCTAACCCCCCCCCCCCGCCCTAGCCAGAACCGGTTTGGCTCAGTGGATAGAGCGTCGGCCTGCGGACTGAAGGGTCCCGGGTTCGATTCCGGTCGAGGGCATGTACCTGGGTTGCGGGCACATCCCCGGTGGGGGATGTGCAAGAGGCAGCTGATTGATGTTTCTCTCTCATCGATGTTTCTAACTCTCTATCTCTCTCCCTTCCTTTCTGTAAAAAATCAATAAAATATTTTTAAAAAAAAATTAAAAAAAAATAAATAAAAATAAATCCTAACCCCCAATGTGATATTTGGAGGTGGGCCTCTGAGGTAATTAGGTAATGGGGTGGAGCCCTCATGAACGGGATTGATGCTTTTATAAAAGGGACCCCACCCAGAAAGGTGCCTTGTCCCTTCTGCCATGTGAGGTCCCAGACATGCAACTGACTATGAACCAGGAAGTGGGCTCTCACCAGACACTGAATCTGCCAGGGCTTTGATTTTGGACTTCCCAGCCTCTAGGACTGTAAGAAATAACTGCTTGTTGCTTGAGCCATCCCATCAATGGTATTTTTGTTATAGCTGTCTGAGATGAACAAGGTTATAAAACCGCTGGATGTTTACATAATCTCATAAATTAAACTCTAAGTAAACTGTGTAACTGTATCCAATTTGCCAGCATCTAAAATGCTTAAGTGCAGCCCTAACCGGTTTGGCTCAGTGGATAGAGCGTCGGCCTGCGGACTCAAGGGTCCCAGGTTCGATTCTGGTCATGGGCATGTACCTTGGTTGCGGGCACATCCCCAGTAGGGAGTGTGCAGGAGGCAGCTGATTGATGTTTCTCTCTCATCGATGTTTCTAACTCTCTATCCCTCTCCCTTCCTCTCTGTAAAAAATCAAGAAAATATATTTAAAAAAATAAATAAATAAAATAAAATAAAATGCTTAAGTGCAGTAGAACACAACATAGTAGATTCCTCCAAGTGTCCTCTACCCTCCAAGGACAGGGACATTCAAGGGGCAGGGGAGGCAAGTGGTAAGTCCTAGACTCTAGTGTGGCTTAAGTTAAGTGCAAAACAAAGACCAAGCTCTCCCACACCACTGAAATGTGACCTGCACAAATTACCTAACATGCTGAGCCTTGCTAACAAGAGGATTTCTTTCTGCCCTGGCCGGTTTGGCTTAGTAGATAGAGCGTCGGCATGAGGACTGACAGTCATGGGTTCGATTCTGGTCAAGGACACATGCCTGGGTTGCGGGCTTGATCCCCTGTGAGGGGTGTGCAGGAGGCAGCCAATCAATGATTCTCTCATCATTGATGTTTCTTTCTCTCCCCCTCTCTCTTCCCCTCTGAAATCAATAAAAATATATTTTTAAAAAAGAGTATTTTTTTCTTTTAGTTGCAAGATACTTAAAGGATCTAAATGAGAAAAATCTAGGTTAAGTGTCTAAGAGACTCTCTCTTTACACATTTTAAGCAGGAAAAAACAACAACTGAGTGTACTTTTTAAAAAGCATCAGTTTACCATGATGGATTTATGAGAAATGAGATGTAAAAATCTGACAGATCACGTGAGGGCTAAGGACCAGCTTGCAGCAGTGACTGCTCACAGACCTCATTCCCCTCTCATGCGCGTGGAAACTGCCCACTCACCGCGGCCTCGGCTTCTTCTTTCGGAGCAGCTCGCTTTAGCTTCACTGGAGTAGTTCCCACTGGGGACAAAGGCGGCAGCTTCGCGGGGCCCAAAGGACTTTTCCCATGCGCTAAGTCATGGTTCTGTTTAGTGTCATTATTATTGTGTTCCATTTTATTGTTCATAGGCAAATTGGAAGACAAAATTAGGGGTGACACACTTGAAGAGGAACTTGATAATTTTCGAAAGGCATTACTGGTAAAGCTTGCCTGAGAGGGAGGCTTGAGTCGATCATTATCCCCATTCTCTGTCTTTCTCACTTTTATGCTTGTGCTTGTTGAACTTCCATCAAACACAATGAGAGGTCTTTTCTTTGACACGTCTACAGTGCTACTCCTGAAATCAAAGAGACACATTCATGAAAGATGCCATCTGGAATGGCAAAGCAGTTACTAGAATGTAAAGTTAAAACAAACAATGACAAAACAAATTTACTGATAAGACAAATCTATTGTAAGTAGGACCACTAGAAAAGAAATTTTCTTTTACACTCTAAATGAAATAACAATTTTCTGGTGCTTTAAAGTTTAAATATTTGTTGACATGAAATTTAAAGAGAGCGTTATTGTACACACAAGAGAGTTATTTTTAAAACATCAATTGACCAACTACCCCTAAAAGGTAAAACAGAATTTCCTAGTAACTAAAAATTCTTTTAATTTTTAAAAATCATCATCTTATTGACAGGGTTATTCTGACCATGTATTACTATTTAGAAAGGATAATAAACTACAAAACTCTACCAAGACGACCATAGCGGCAATCTATATATGACGATACGGAACACTGCCCCATTCAGTAAGGTCGCTTAAGCCAAGGCATTTTCTAAAATAACTGCAACTGTACATTTGTATGATTTTAATTTTAAAATTTAGCAAGTCTTCTCATTTAGCTTCTGAAAATCTAATTTCCACTCTTAATTGTAAAGATAATAAAAGCATTTCATTTGTTCATTATTCTTTATACCTCAAACAACAGATTTATGATAAAAAAAACCTTTTAATTAAACACACTTAGCAGGAAGAACTCTCCAGCCTTGCTACTCAAAGTGTGGTCCAGGGACCAGTAGCATCTGTAGTATCTTGGGAGCTTGTAAAAAATTCAGAATCTGCCTTTTAACCAGATCCCAGGTGATTGGCCAAATTCACCACTGACAACCATTTGGCAGAAGATGAAAAATAAACTCATTATAATCCACTGCCACTGCAGGAGGGAAACAGAAGGACTGGGAGCAGGTGCGTCAGCTGTGAGAGTTCAATCTAAGAGGCAAGGGGCGCCTTCAGGTCTGAGAAACTCGGCAGTAAAGACCTAGTCCAGCTCGGTAGGACCAGGCACGTCACAGCACTTCTCCAAAGCTCCGTTCCTCCAGAGATGAACCAGCAGGCGACTCAATAATGTTCAATGACCTCGTAGATCCTTCCAGCTTTAATCCTCTGATACAGGAGTCAAACTGTGATTTTTAAAAATAGAGCCAAAGATCCTTTCCAAAGTGACTCTGAGGGACTAAAAGAAGCCGTCACATGAAGTAAAGTACGTCAGGATTGAAAGCTTTGCCTAGGACAATGGACCTGAATGTGCAGATAAAGAAGAAAATACTTTCGAAGTAAGAGTCAACAGAAGTCAATTAAAGATATGCACAGCATAATCCAGATTTATGGAAGTTGACACTAATACACAGCCTGACCAACACGCAACCAACGAGCTAAAATGATGCTCAACCTGAACTGAATGTGTTCCTGATCCAAAGTGGGACTGTATGCTCATTTACTTTCCAAAAGACTCTGAGCACACATGCCCCATTCTTCACTATTCTACTCCTCGGGGAACAACCTCCCTACCAGTCATGAGTTTTTCTGCATTCTTCATAACTAGAGATTAAAACCAGGAATCGGAATTAGCATTCTCCCTCACTCCATCGCTACTGCACTGCCCATGACAGCACCTTACAAACAGAAGGCTCCCAAAGGAGACTCAGTAATCAATAACACCCACTTGCCATATAAGCGACACAGGAAAAGAAACAGCTAGCTCACTTAGGGATCTCTGGGTACTTTGTCCTCATTAACTAACCAACTATACTGATTAATCACATGTACCTTTAAAAGGGAATTTCATTTGCTTGTGGTTCTATAAACCATTTTCTGAAATTTAAAAATTTGAAATAGTGTCCCTCAAGCTGTATGAGTCTCTCCATTTCTGTATTATTCAAAGACCTTAGAGCAGTGGTTCTCAACCTTGGCTGCACATTAGAATCACCTGGGAATCCTTTTAAAATCCTGATTTCTGGGCCTCATCCTCCAGAAATTCTGTTGCTTTGTTACTAATGTTGTGGCCCCACCCCATAACAAAGAAACAGAATTTCCGAAGGATGAGGCCCAGAAATCAGGATTTTAAAAAGATTCCCAGGTGATTTTAAAGTGCAGCCAAGGTTGAGAACCCCTGCCTTAGAGTCTTGATTCTATTTTTTCTCACAATTCAGCACATGTTGGCTCTGGCTCTACCTCTAAAACACATCCAGACCCAACACTTCTCATCAAGTCCACGACCACCTCACAGTCACCACCAGGTGTTGCCTGGATCACTACAGTCTAATTGGTTTCCCTGTCCCTCCCCCACCTTAAATCACTTCTCAGTATGGTGGCCAGTATGACCCTGTTAAAACGGACTTCAGATGGTGTCACCACTCTGCTCGAAACCCTCCATTGCCTTCTCCTCTCAATAGTCCAGCCACAGTTCTCACAATGACTAGCAAAGCTTTATGTGATCTGACAATCTCCACTCACGCCCAGTCAACCTCACCCCCTCTCCCTCTGAATCTCTCCACCCAGCCTGGTGGTCTCTTTGCTGTTTGTGGACACACTCCTGACCCCAATTATTGTATTCTGCTTGGAACGCCAGCTTACTCACTACTCGCTAGGTCTCTCTACTGAAATGGCATTTCTCAGTGAGGTTGTTCCTGGCCACTTGAATTAAAACTGTAAATCCACCCTAGCCGGTTTGGTTCCGTGGATAGAGCGTCAGCCTGAGGACTGAAGGGTCCCAGGTTCGATTCCAGTCAAGGGCACATGCCTGGGTTGCTGGCTCGGTCCAACGTGCAGGAGGAAGCCAATCAATGATTCCCTCTCATCATTGATGTTTCTATCTCTCTTTTCCTCCCTCTTCCTCTCTGAAATCAATAAAAATATATTTTTTAAAAAATAAATAAAACTGTAAATCCTCTCACTGCTTTTTCTTTTGTCACGATTAACATACAATATATTTTCCTTAATATTTTTTATCATGTTTCTTCATATTAAAATATAAGCAGGAAATTTTGTCAGTTTTATTCATGGTATATGTACAGTGCCTGGTGCTCAATAAATAGTTGTTGAGTAAATGAAATCTTTTTGACCTAAATTTACCTAGGGAGAAAAAAAAAAGTAAAATTGTTTAGTCATAGAAGATGAAAACCAGAAGTATTGAGAAGTACCTTTTAGTCTCGTTTTTTGGCTCATGTTGCTCTCTTTTCTTTTCCATCATTTTCCCCCATCTATTCTTTGGCAAATCTCTCTGAGGCAATGGTATTGCATGCTGAACATACAGATCAGTAAGATTGTCTTTGTTTATTCTTACATCACTTTCAACAGCTATGTTCTTCTGTGGAAAAGGAAACAAAAATAAGTTCAAAACAACATCCTTCTTTTAACAACTAACCAATTACCTGCCTAACAGGGCAGAACATTACTGCTTAAATAACAAATTATAAAACCACTTTACAATTAGACACATGCTTAAGGGTCCGTTATAATACTGAAAAAGCGGTATTATAAGTAGGTCAAGCTCTGTAAATATTAGGTTCAGCCTCCTCTGACAGGCAATGGCCACATGTCCTCCGTGTGACAAGCCCGACTGTCCACAGTGTTCAGCCAACATGCCAGGCAACAGGGGCGTCCGCTGACACCATCCTCATCGATGAGGAGAACAGCGAAGGAAACCGGAATGGAGATGTGATCACGGGCTCACCTACCATTCTGGGAACACTGTGCTTAGAACTGACTAAACACATCCAACCTATGTCCTCTGAAACTTTTCCCAATCCTTTTTTCCCCTTAAAAACTTAAAAGCACAATTTTGCTCCTTTTCTGTCTTATACCAGATGGGCCTTTATCATCAACTTGCACCTGCACTCACTCACTCGGAGACACGTGGGAACCCCAGGGTCCCATAGACAGTGTCCCACAGAACCACTGGCAGGTTAGACTGGGAGGCCCTGCTTAGGGGCAGCGGTGCTAACTGTGGTCCCTGAACTAGAAGCCAGAACTTGCTAAAAAAACACACGCAGATTTTCAGGCCACATCTCAGAACTACTGACTCCGACACAGAGGGGATGAGTCCCGCAAAATGTGTGTGTTAACCAGTCCTGGGTGACTCTGATGTGCCTAAGAGGTTTGAGAAACACAGGCAAAAGGTAATTGACATCACTAACATGACCGGCTGAGCTAGGGCTTGATGAGATTAGACAAAGATGCAGCACGGAGGGTTCAGGAGCCACAAGAAAAACAAGGTGCTATACATAAAACCCCAAGGAAACGTTCAGTAATTCTCTACCACTTTACACAAAATTTATCACTTTGTGTCTTCTTTTTCGCCTACTATGAGTGGCCACATTAGCTGAGAAAGAGCAAACGCTACATCGAGCGCGCAGAACCCCGGATTCTCCTCCTGGCTGATCCTGCACCGCAATCACGACGGGGTGCCCCGAAAGGAGGCAGTTCACCCCTGCGTCCTCGTCTGCAACCGGGGTGCGCGTGCGGTGCTCCCCAGTCCCCGACCACGTCCCCGTTTCCGTCCCCCCACGACCCTCGCCCGGCCCCTCTTCCTTGCTCCCGTACAGGCCGCGAGGATCGCCTAGGACCCCTCTTTGCGAGCCATCGAGAACCCCAAAAGGTAAGTCCCAACCCCCAGGGGTGCCTGATGTGCGAGGACGTCTCCTTTCGGGGGGCGCGGGGAGACCAGGTGGGCCAGCGCCGAGCCGCCCAGACGGCGGGAGCGCTCCCGCCAGAGCACCCCGGCCCCCGCCCCCCGCCCCCGCGGCCCCGGCGCCGACCTGCTCCAGCGTGAGCAGCAGGAACTCCCGGGACAGCAACTCCGGGTGCAGCAGCAGCTCCGAGTCCGGGCAGCGCCGCCCGCCCGCGTCCCCCGCCATCACCGTCGCCCGGACCCGGCCAGCTACCCACAAGGCCCCGCGCAGGAAGCGTCCCGGAAGTGACGTGTAGGCGGGGCTGAGCGTGTCATCCCGGGGCGCCGCGCGTGCGCTCCTGGGGCGGGGCGGCGCGGGCGGGGCCAGCTGGGTGGGCTGCGGGATCCGCCGGGGGAACCGAGGTGTCTGCTGCGACGCGAGGGGAATGCGGGGGGAGGTCCCCCTCCGCCTCGGTGACGCGCGTCTCACGCTGGCCACGTGTTCCTTAGTTTGTCCCCTGATCCCGCTTTAATTTGCTGCAAGACCCGGGACTTGAGTGCCGGGCGCAGCACATAGTAGGTGAAAGTGAGCCGGGTGGAGGGCCGCGGGCAGGGTAAGCAAAGGTGCTTGGAGAGAAATGGAATGGATTTAGGGAAAGGCAGGGGCTGCCCAGCACCGCCCAGGGGACGTGGGTGGTCGATAGCAGCTCCCAGGCTCTGGAGTTTCATCCTGTGCGCAGTCACCTGCGGGGACTTGTCCGGGGGGGGGGGGGGGGGGGCGGCCTGGAATGCAAGCGCGCGAGCTGGTGCCTTCAGGACACTGCCAAGAAAGCTTTGTTTCTGGTCTGTCTCCTGTGGCGGGAAGCTGACCAATGGCCGTTAAGGATCCTATTGCCCTATGGTCCTAACATTTCCCTCCTCTTTCTGTTTGTTAATAATTATTCTTAATGGAATGGGGCAGAGGCCTCCTCTTCTTCTGTCCGTGGGCGTAAGGAACAAGGCCCTCCCCTCTGGTGCTGTTGACCGGGTATCTGAATAAAGTTACTCCACATATCAGAAACCAACCAGTTAACATTATTATATTTAAAATTGTTTTTCTTGAGATGTTAATGTTTATTGCATATAACATTATTATATTTAAAATTGTTTTTCTTGAAATATGTTTTAAAAAAAACAACCAGTTGGCAGTTTAGTTATGTCCATTACTATAAGGGAGGGTGAAATTATCATAATAGTTCATAGATACTGAAAGACAACTAGGTCACCTGGGAAAAGTCAGACGTTCACCACAGGGAGCTACTGCAGCAACCTTTATAGAAAACATCCTGCATCTTGTTAACATAAAAACATTCAAACCTATAAAGAATTTTTGTGAGTTTATTTGAGCCAAACTCGACAATTGCCGGGAAGCAGGATCTCAACAGATTGGGACAATGCTCCAGAGAATGGTGGGTTTTTCATCTATTTTTATATATTGCAATCAAAGGAGGGGCCGCAGGTGGGTTACATGAATTCCATTGGTGATGGATTAGAGAGGGGGGAGAAAGCAAAGGGGGGAGGGGTGGGAACCTCTGGGATTGGATAAAAAGTAAAATGATAGACACATACTTCTTTTACTTAGGTGGGTGCAGGATAGTTAACAGTCAACAATTAACATGATAGCAACAACACTAAAGGAATTTGTGATCTCTGTCCTGGTGCCCAGGCACACTTGGTTATGCCCTGAGGGGTCCAGAAAAAGGGAAGTTACAAGTTACCCCGACCTTTCACAAGGATGTTATCTTAGATGCAAAAAGACAGATAGGTTCAGTTAAGGTAAAGATTGACCTTTACTAGGGAAGATACTGGCCCAGGACATGACTACCCACTATAAACTGCTTGTAGTTAAAGTTTCAATTTAACCATCCTTTATGGTTACTTTAGGTCTTTGAGTTTGCAAAACCACCATGCAGGCCTCCCTGAGCTTGTCAGGTTAGCATGTGGCCTTGTTTTTTCGTCCACAGTCCTTTTCCCGGACAGTGGGTTCCAACACATAAAGGTCCCCGTATGTGACTTTCTTCCCAAAATGAATAGAATGAGTATAATTCTGTATATTAGCAATAGGTGTCCCAGCTCCTACCAGGCAAGATGTAAAGGTCTGTTCTCCATAGGTTCCTCCTTGAGGTGTTCCTGGGGTTCAGTCACGCATTCTTCCCCTTCTGGGGTCCTCTTCACTCTGGTGTGATGGATCCAGGGACTCAGAGCATTTGGAGTGGTGAGAAGCACGTCCCAGGGTCCCAGCCATGTTGATCGTCTTGTGATCCGGTTTTCCATGTTTTGAGTAGAATTCTGTCTCCTGCTAAGAAGGGATGTAGGAAAAAAAATCCGTAGCACATGCCAAATCATTACCCACGGCTGAGGACACCATGTGGAGGGACTGGGAGGTAAAAGCTGGTCCTGAGGCAGCCACAGTGTCACTTGCCTGGTTTTGCTGCTTTTCTTGGCTTGAAACTGAAATACAACTGAGGCCTAGAGAGGAAAAGGTCTCAGGGGTTTGAAAAGAGCCGGGTCCAAACCACATGACCAGTGATATGCTAGGGGAGGAGAGGTTACCCTGGGGGCTAGGTTCTTGTTTCCCCAGTTTTGCCTCTTGCTCAGCGTCTGGTTTCCGGGGCTTTTTGCCTTCGTGAGTTGCCATACCTAGCTCATCGTCCTCGCTCTGGGGGTCTAACAGTAGGCACTCACGTATTTGTTCCCTGAAATAATTCTCGAATTAACCTGCTCACGTATAAAAATAACTGAGAGCGCGGGTGACAACGTCCAAATATTAGACATTGGCTGTGTGCCAGATACTGCATTTATATAGATTGCTGGTTCCTCGGAACAGCCTTCTGAGATGCACAGTACTGGAATGCTTATTTTTTTTCAAACGAGAAAACAGGCATGGGGTAATTTGCTCAAGATCAGAGAATGAGGAAATAGCAAGACTAACATTCAAGTACATTTCCTCTGCACTTGTACCTACAGTAAAGTAACAGTTTTAGTTTAAACGGAATCTAGTTGTGTTATGATCTAATCTCTAGTAGTTAATTTATTGAAAAGTCTTTCCTACTTCTCTTTCATCTTTTGTGGAGGGGATATACATCCCAAAATATTTTGCACATTTAAAACTTAAACTTGCAGACAGTTCTCAAAGCTTGTGGTTTGCATCCTCTATGATGTATTGTTTTATTGGAAGTTATTACAGTGTCTAAAAAGATCTGAGGGTGCCAAAAGATAAACCTTGCAAGGGAATTGGAAAATAAATGAGATGCTAAATCAAAAGTCAAGATAAAGTTGAGAGGTGTTTTCCAATTTTTCATAATCGTTTATGTATATGATGCTTTATCTAGAAATTGAATTTCAGAGCAGGGCAGAATTAAAAGTTATTCAGGTCAGTTCTTTCATTTTAGTGCAGAGGAAGTGGATCTGAGGAGATTAAACGACTTGCCAAATTGAACAGGGTTTTAGAACTGAGCTGAAGCAGGTGTTTGGGTACCCTAATTTGGAGCTATGTGTATTAACTTCATGGTATTAGCATCATGGCATTCCATGTCCAGAATCTGACTTGATTTGCATGATAATAGTGAAGTGCGTGTGACTGGCATTAGCCCCATTTCCTCCTCTAAAAGGCACATGCATTGTTTTAGTGGCACAAGCAGCTGCCTTGGAGGGAGCCTTGGAAACCAGACCTCAGTTCAGATTTTGTTCTGCTGCACCAAGACCCTGGGTGAGTCACTCAAGTCCTGAGCCTCAGTCTTATCAGAAAAATGCTCTGCTAACACTGTCCGTGGAGAATATCTAAGGAGTAGAGCTTACATAACACACTTGGGCCCTGGCCAGGTAGCTCAGTTGATTAGAGCAGCGTCCCAAAACGCCCGGATTGAGGTTTGGTCCCCCGTCAGGGCACATACAGAATCAACCAATGGGTGCATAAATAAGTGGAACAACACATCGATATTCCCCACTCTTCCTCTCTTTCAAATCAATAATTAAAAACAAAAACAAAAAACGAACACACTTGACACAGAGTAGGTGCTTAATAAATGGCAGCTGGTTTTGAGACATACGTCATGTCTCCCCACTTGAGCCTCCTCCCCTGTGAAATGGGAATGATAACACACTTCATCCTGTTAAGAGATGGGCGCCAACGCATGAACACTTGCCTCTGCCTGGAGATCTGTGGTAGCCTGTGACTGTCATCAAAGGAGAGACGTGGCAGCACGGAGGTGGAGCTGCGGAAAACTTGAGCTTCAGACCCTGAAAATGGCGAGAGGTCCTTGCTCCCTGGGACCTGACGCGAGTACATCCCACTTTAAAATGAAAAATTAAATCCATTAAGATAATTCTAGGTATCTCTGAAGCTAAAATCTCAGGGTAGAGGGAGTGTCTTCTGAGGCAGAGAAAAAACCCAGGTTCAGAGAGGAGGAAGTAGAGTGAGATTCTGATGCCGGACCCCTCTGCGGGGAGGGAGAGCCTGGGAATGCCTGCGCCCTCTCCACCTGCAGAGCCTGGAGAGTGGAGCCTCGGAGTATTTGCGACCTGCTGTCTGGGTTCCCATCAGTGTTTCTGAGGCAGGAATCTGGGGAAGAGGAGAATTTTCCTTTCTAAGGAGTTCTGAGGTGATGTTTCAAATATGCCGAGGCAGCAGGGCACCTCCCAGAGATTTCTGCCACCTGGCAGGGCATGGAAGCCACAGCCGGCCTCGACCCGACCCGGAGCCAGGTGTCGCCAGGACTGGAGGGCCAGACTGAAAACCAGCACCAGAGACCAAGAGCATCCCAGGATCCTTGTGGGTGGATCAGTAATGCAAAGATCTGGTGTCTCCCTCTCTCATCTTGGCACTTCAGAGATTCCCTAATCCGGACCCAGCCCTGAGGAAGGGGGCAGGCCTCTATTGATAAGATTATTGTTACCGCGGCCAAACGGGGGCTTAAAATAGAAATAAAGCTCAGTTACAGAAAAATAACTCTATTTGTTACACATTTGAATATGTAGACTGAAGTTGATTCCTGCTACAAATTGTATCTTACATAACCGTACATTTTTAGGTTCAGAATTGTGAGAGTTTCCGCGTCACCTGGATCATTGCGTTGCATTCATTAACATTTTTTGGTGCCTGTAGTTGGCAGACCAACGCTGAGGGCAACAGCCGACACGGCCTGGCCTGGCACCGCCACCTCACTAGGACCCAAGCTCCTCCAGGACAGGGCCACACCTTTGCTTTGAATCTCCATCCTGGTCACCAGCACGCACA